TCTTGTTCTCTTTTTAGTACTGTTCAGTTATTGCTTGCCCTGTTTCCATGAGGCAATAATAATTATATTATAATGTAATTTAATCTATGGGGGGGTGATTGTTCTCATTCCACTGTCCATGTCTAGGGATATCTCATCTTGTTCTTTTTTAGTACTGTTCAGTTATTGCTTGCCCTGTTTCCATGAGGCAATAATAATTATATTATAATGTAATTTAATCTATGGGGTAGATTGTTCTCATTCCACTGTCCATGTCTAGGGATATCTCATCTTGTTCTTCTTTTTAGTACTGTTCAGTTATTGCTTGCCCTGTTTCCATGAGGCAATAATAATTATATTATAATGTAATTTAATCTATGGGGTAGATTGTTCTCATTCCACTGTCCATGTCTAGGGATATCTCGTCTTGTTCTCTTTTTAGTACTGTTCAGTTATTGCTTGCCCTGTTTCCATGAGGCAATAATAATTATATTATAATGTAATTTAATCTATGGGGGGTAGATTGTTCTCATTCCACTGTCCATGTCTAGGGATATCTCATCTTGTTCTCTTTTAGTACTGTTCAGTTATTGCTTGCCCTGTTTCCATGAGGCAATAATAATTATATTATAATGTAATTTAATCTATGGGGGTTATAATTCTTTTTAATTTAGTTCTCATTCCACTGTCCATGTCTAGGCATATCTCGTCTTTTTCTCTTTTTTGTACTGTTCATTTATTGATAGCCCTGTTTCCTTGAGGCAATCTCGTTTGTTCTATTTTAATAATACTCAATTATTTCAATGCCTCCAACTTCATGAAGCCATAGTTAAATCCGCAAGGGTTTTGCATTGAGCAGTAATAAAAAGAGGACAAGATGAGATATCCCTAAATATCGACAGTGGAATGAGAACATTTTACAAATGTAGAGTAAGGAAAGCATTCAGTTTGAAATTTTTAGAAGGTTACTCGGATCAACAGAAAGCCAAAGAATACAACATCAGAAACATGATAATACGAAGAAAGCGAAAATGTTGATATGTCACATCTAGTGATGGACTATGAGGCAAGCCCTTAAAGAATTATAAATCTAGTATCACGACGTACTCATCTTAGTCTGGCACAAGGCGAATACTGGCAGATATATGATGAGTATTTAAATTATCAAGAGAAATTTCGCTTTCGAAAGTCGTTTTTTTGTCTTTTGGAGGTAACTCTGGGATTTTATTATTCATTATGTTATCTCCTTTGTTCTTTTTCTTTTTTTTTTTTTTCATTTACATACCTTTTTTTTAATGCGATCTGTTATTTTTCTTTTAAATCATTTCACCTCCAAACACGGCTACTACAATCGCTTGCGCCCTAGTGGCTGAGAATGAAAGAAACATAAAAATTTCTTTTGAAAATTGTGGGTAAATGTTTACTTTTTGTCCCGTTTCCCCGATCAATTCCGCCTTTACTTCATTGGATAGTTGACTATTTTCCAATTTTCCTCGGTAAAAGAGCATAGCACGATGAAAAAGGCCCCAAATTCCATAAAAACAAAGTTTTGTCGTCAAAATGTTTGTTATTATTAAGAGGAAAGACCAAAGTATTTTTTTTATTATTTTTTGAAATTTTATAATCCTTTCTAGCACGTTAGAAATTTTAGTTAAAAGTCGTGTTTTGTTTACGTCAGCGGCCGATGTAATAATTACGTTTAGTTTTTTGGCGCATTTTTGCAGTGGAAAACACATTGATTTGGAAATTGTTGCAAAAATTAAATAATTCTCGGATTTTAATGAAACTTTCAATACATATTCAGAAATGAATGAAATTATTTAAAAAAAATTTTTTTTTTGTTTTTTTCGTAAAAATGTTTTTTTTTTTTTTTTTGTAAAAAAAAATTTTTTTTTTTTTTTCAAAAATGAGATTTTTTGTCCAATTACATATATACCCACTTAATTTCACGAACTTTCGAGAAATTCAATTTTCAGGATTTATTTTCTTTAATTAAAAGCAGGACTCCTTGGAGAATGTAAATCATCAATTTTTTATTTTTTTTTTATTTGTAAAACAGTTAACCTATTCACTGAAAATCTGCTCTGAATTGTAAAATAAAAAATGCAATAAAACTATTATATTATTTAATTAGAAAAAGTTACATATGAAAATATATATTTTTTAATATGCTTAAGTTTAAGCATATTATAAAATATTTACTTAAACAGGGATGAAATGAGTGTAGTATCTGTCAGGATGAAAATAATACCAGTAAAAAAAACTATTACATTCAGAGATCTGTCTATATTTCTGAGATGACAATGAATTATTTACATTATTCAGACTGTTATCCTTATCTTCATTGCCATATTCACAATGTTTTGACCGTTGTACACTCCAGCCTTCTTCAGGTGACTGCAATTTTGAGTCGAAAACCTTTATTTCGTTCACCGGAGTAGACTATTCTAGTTCCTCATGCCAAGCCTCTTCCAGACGTCTCAGTTATTTCCCTTTCTCAACTCTTAAAGATTTTGGTTCACCTCTGCTGTAGCCTGGTATTGAACTCACAACTCTTTGGATCTAGTTACTGGATCTAACCAATCTCTTTATCCACTGGGCCATGTGAAGAAGGTCGAAGCGTACAAAGGCCGAAACATTATGAATATGTCAAAGAAGATGAGGATAACAGTCCAAATAATATAAATAATCATAATACCTCATCTCAGAGATATAGACAGATAATGATTATTGATGTTGTGTTTAAATTTTTGAAGATTGTTGTTGCCAAGAAAGGATAAAAGCAGAAGGGAGTTCCTCAAGTGAGAAGTACAGGTGAAGAAACTATTGGATAAAAAAAAACTTAGGATTACATCTGGCAATTTCAACAGTGAAATTTATGAGACCTAACAGCCAATCTGGTACTGTACTTTCTCTAGCAGCACACATCGCATTGGTCAAAATCTTAGGAAAGAATAGTATTACTATAATCATCGCAATTGGGAATTATTCAGAATTGTATCCTCACTTACATTGTGTTGGACAATGTTTTCACTGATGAAAATTAATCCACAACATCTAATTTTATTCTGAAAATATTATTTGAAAAATTTAATTTTCAAATAAAATATTATTCAAAAATTTAATTTTCATATGAACACAACAATTTTGTCTTAGAAAAACAATGGACACAATAATTTTTTTGTCTTAGAAAAAAACAAGACCCTGATAATGACATTGTGCTAATGTCAAAAGTACTCAGAATAAAGTGAATAAGCATCAACATGGTAATTTTCTTTCTTTCTTAATAAGAATACTAAGAAACTTGTTTGTAATTACAAGAGGATTCTATTAAAAATAATTAGACAAAACTTGTCTAAATTATCTAATGAGACATGTCTTATATATAATAATGGACTCTCCTGTCGGTTTTGACATATGAGGATCTGACAGCTTAATTGATTCAGTTATGAAATTTTGTGCGATAATCTTTGGCACTTAAGACCCGCTAGTGATTTACAAAGAAGGCCACATATGGAGCAAGTGTGAGGATTGTGAGATGAGATCACTGTTAGATTGGCTGACCTTTTAGATCTTGCTCTCGCTTCTTGAAGATAATTCATACGAGCAGATTGAAAACTGCTGAGTCCACTAAAACATGCTGATCTCCATTCTACCCACTCCTAGGCAAAACGCTCAGGGGTGTTATGTGGTATATTGACAGCTGACAAGTTGCTTTTCAGCTTGTCTTTGTATCTTAGCCATGGGCGTCCTACAGCCCTGATCTAATTGGCTGTACATTAGGATCTTGGGTATCCTGTTATCAGACATTCGCAAGACAAGACCAGTCCACTCTAACTGAGACTGTATGCGAAAAGACTCGATTCCTCCAATATTACATCTGTTAAACAGGTCTACATTATAATATAATATCAACTATAAACATGGAGACAATATGTAGCAGAGACCTTGGCAACTCAAAAGAGCCAGAGTCAGAGTCATGTGTATGTTTCGTAGTGGAGTGTGGAGACAGCAAATTGATGAACTTTGGACTGTAGGTGAATCGGGCAGCACTTCATGTGGACGGAAGTCGTTCTGGGCACTCATTGGCTGAGCAATAGCTGGGTCAGGTCCATAAAAGCATGGTATGCTAATTAAAGAGGAGGCTCGTTTCTGACGAGGAGTTATGTACTTGAGATTGAGGAATGGATATAATTGTGGAATTGATTTGCCTGTTGGACTTGTATCTAGTTTTTTTTGTGTGTGCTTCCAACCAATACTCACACAATTTATATTAGATATGGCAGAAGGCCAAAAGTATAGAGCACCTAGTGAGGATCAAATTTACTACTGGTCTGCATAAAATGGCCCATTTTCTTGGTTTGGTTTGTTTTACAGCATATCGACCTCTATAGATTCTTTAATGATAACAAGGGCACAAGCAAAAGGTCTGGCTGGCACTTGACTATTGCAAATTAAATGAATTTGTAGAGGCATTTACTGCTAATGCAGACGTGTGTGTGCAGAACCTTAGGGAATGGTGACGCCAAAGACCCAATATATCGCTCTTGGACCTAAGAAAGGCCTATTTGTAAATCTACGTTGATAAGGTGGTATGGCCATTTCAGACTGTGGTTTTCAAAGGTCAGCAATCTTGCCTTATATGATTGGGTTTTGGGTTAAATGTTAAAGTTGCATTTTTATTGGCTGGTTCTGGGTGTTCATTGGCAATGATCAAGAGCAACTCAAGGCAGAGTGTTATTGTGTAGTGTTGTATGAGTGTAAGAAAAGGTAAAAAGTGATATACATGTATAAAGAACAGTGTGAAAAGGCAATTCATGTGTCAAGGAGAGGGTGTGGTCAAGGGTTACCCTCAGGTACTTTGGGGTCTTTTTGATAGGGATTTGTGTATCACCATTCAGAACAATATTTTTAATAATTCTATGTATATTAACAATTCCTTAGAACTTTTCCACTTTATAAAATTCCTAATTTATAAATTGTTTTACCTTTTTTTTTTTTTTTTTTTTCTTTTCTTTAAGGATTTCCAAAAAATGCCAGGCTCTGGAGATTCGTGATTGGATCTGGGATGCACAGTGGTTGAAAACGGTAAGGAATATCAAACCCCTATTTTTTTTTTATTTTTTTAAATCAAGCCATTAAGATGCATGGGTTTACAGAGTGTGAGAGAATATGAGGGAAGAAAAAACATTATTAAGGAGAGAAAACAAAGAAAGAACAGGAATTATGAAGATGAAAGATAATGACAAACATTGCATTTAAATTTTTGAAGATAAAATTTGAATGGGAAGCCACAAGCGAGAAGTGTGAGAGAAGAAACTATTAGTATAGAACTTACGGTTACATCTACCCACAATTTCAGCTGTAAAATAATGAGACCTATCTGCCAATCTAGTACTGCACTTAAGATAATAAAATCTAGGTACCATAGGGGAATGTTTATAAGAACAATTACCATGAAAGTATTTATAGAAAAAAGCAGAGAGAAGCTACATTCTGATGATGGGAAAGTAACTGAAGCCAAGATGCCAAGTAAGTAGAGAGAACACATATATATATATATATATATATATATATATATATATATATATTATTATTTATATTTTAGGATATTACATTGAAAATGTAAAAATTGCTACACAATTGCAGTCATGTTTCAATGAATATCAGTGCATCTCATCAGATGATTGTAAATTACTGATAAGTGAATGATTTATTTAGATTTAAAAGCAAAATACAAAAAAAGACAAAAAAGGGAATTATAAGTTTTGGGGACATTACTCTGATCAATCAATCAAATTAAGTTAAATTTAAACTCAGCAAAGAAACATAAATTAAAACTTATTTTTTATAAATGTGTCATGACCCATAGATTGGCAGCTAACAGCAGCCAGACATAAACATAAAACTGACACAAATGGTTACATAAAATATACAAACCAAACAATCTACAGGTAATGATCCATTTTTTATGGGTTTTTTTTTTGAAAAGGGGGATTATATTTTGCTTTTAAATCTAAATACATCATTCACTCGCCATTAATTTACAATTGCCTGATGAGATGCATTGATATGCTTTGAAACACGACTACAATTGTGTAGCAATTTTGACACGTTTTCAATGTAATAAACTAAAATAAATAATATTGCTCTACTCTGTATTGAGCCCTACTTTAAATTAAATGTGACGAAAGTTGGGCTAGTACTCTATTCGTTCTCATCATACCTGGATATATATATATATATATATAGAGAGAGAGAGAGAGACAGACAGAGAATTAATACAAGTAAAAGGTTTGTCACTTCACTGATTGATGTTACCTTCAGCATCCCGACTCCAGAGTTTTGTAGACAGATCCACATTCATCAGGGGCTATCAGCAATTGACTGTTTATATGTTGCAAATTATTTTTTTATATGCACTGTTTCTTAGTGCAAGTTGTTTTTTGATATTTTTTTTTTTGTATATGTGTATGTGTGTAGAATGTAGTGGTTATTTGTCTTTTTTCTTTTTTTTTTTTTCACTTTACGCTCACTCCTAATTGTTTGTTTTTTTATTTTACTCTGTTTTTCTCTTCTTCCTCTTTTCTTTCACTTGTAACCATTTTGACTTTCAGTTTTCCAGACATATTCTAGTGTTTTCTTGAGTTAGGAAAATTTCATTTTTTATATAAATAAATTTTTTTTTATGCTTAAACAATATGGTAAATATTTATCTGCATCTTGGCCATTATTTCATTTTCTTATCTGATTTTAAGTATACAGGTATTAATTGTAGGAGGTTAGGTTTTTTGCCTATATTTCTTAGATGAGGTATTATGTACACTATTTACATTATTCGGACTGTTGTCCTCATCTTTGTCGCCATATTTATTACAAAGTTTCGGCCATTGTACACTCCTGCCTTCTTCAAGTTCTCCACCGCCTTAACCAGGTATTGAACTCACACTCTTTAGGTCCTGTCACTGGATCTAACTAACACCTTTATCCACTGTGCCATGTGTCCTTGAGATAACTGACATCCATTAGACATGGCATGTGGAACTAGAACAGTCTTATTATAGTTATTGGATTGTTCATATGAGGAATTGTCACTGTAGTCGAATTTATTCCAAGTAAACTCCAGTTTAGAAAACCATAGAAGACATGACACCAAAGTGAAAAAAAATATAGAAATCACCCACCCCACCCACCAAAAATAGAGAAAGATAAAAAAAAATGCAATACAAGAATTTATTAAAAAAAAAAATCAAGGTAAGTCAGAAATTAAATTCATGAAATCCAAAGTTAATTATACTTTGGAAAATTTATCAAGAGATTAAATATTTGAGATAATCCACTGAGGAGTTAACAGTGATTGTCCTTATATTGCTGCCACATCTGGTCTGGTGCTTCTGCTATATATTTAGAGATTCTTGATAAAATCCAAAAAAGAATCTGCAATGTTA